ATCATTTTGGGACATTGTGTGCTGGCTTTATGAAACACTCTGTACAGTTGTTTTGACCAAAGCTGTATTCATGATACTTTAGGCAGCGTGAGATGAAATTCCGTGTGAATTAGGCGCAGTAATATTATAACCCAGGATGCTACCAGCAACTCTTCTCCCTACTGATCTTCAACATGAATTTATTCCTCACGAGAAACAAATTATTTTAAAATTATACTTTCGGATGGATCTTAAGGATCAATGCAAATTTAGCTCTTGGCATCGTACGAGGCTGTTAATGTCTGAAATGTGATGTTAAGCCAACGGATGCAAGGTTTAATATTCAGCTAATTTATCACGCTACTGTTTTTGGTCATGTAATCGTTTTAATTTTTCTTTAAAGACCTGTTTATCGTTTGACTAAGAAGATTATATTCTTATATTAACGATTGTTATGATTACGTATTCTTTATAAATTTTGATCATTCCGTAATATATGTTACGGTATTCTGCCTCGTGTCCCTCCACACTGACCGACTGATTACAGAATGCATAGTGTACCGAATTTCAATTTTTATTCCTAAGGGCGATATCTTGGTATCCAGCGTCTCATTTAAGAAAACGAGGTGCTTCGCCATCTAACCTCTTGAAGCAAAAACGTTTACCTAATTTGATCTGTTTAAAATATATATCTTACTACAATGAAAAGAGCGCTCCTTCATTAAAAAGACAAGTTTAAGGGAAAAAAAAGTCAGTTTATTTTGAGAATCATATGAAACACATAAATACACTCTGGGAAACAAAATCAGTTTTTAATTTCAAACAAATACCTTAGTTCTGATTTTGTTATCACAGCTCGATAGATATTGAAAAGTACGATTCTGAGGTATTACCCAATGGCACAACACCCATACGAAATTTCATCCTGATCCGCCCAGTATTTCTCGAATTGAATTATACAGACAGACACGACCAGACCATAATACGTTCTCTGCATGCACTTTATGCAAAGAACGCTAAGTCTGCCGGTTGACAATTAACAAATTAATTGCTTGGATATAGGACAACGTTGAAACACAACGTAGGCTATACCCAGGATCAGATGTTTAATCCCTGACAGCTATTCCCAGTGAATCTGTGCGTACTGCTCCATAATCTATCGCTTTTATTTAATTACCGAAGATTTAACTTACGTACGGCCTCTGAATTTATAAGTAGAACTGCATTGAACGGGGTCCCTCGCTGAGTGTACGAACCACGGGACAACTTGATCTAGCGTCGGAGAAGGTAAGGTGGAAATTATCACTCCTTGCCGTCACAAAGTGGTCTTCCTCAGGCGTGACTCTTAGGAGATGTCAAACCTTCACGTTTCTTTTACGTTCTGCTATTAGGTTTATTTTGAAGATTTCTGTCTTCTGGGTTATTGCGCTGTGTAGTCTGGTCGATGTTAACCAACGTTTCAGAGGTCATACTGCCTCCGTCATCAGAGTATGAAGATTTCTGTCTTCTGGGTTAGGAGTGGACCAATGGTAGCACGTGGGCGAGAGTGGGAGAGTGAGAGAAAGTAGAGAGAGAAAGGTAAGTTTGGTTGTATGGATAAGGCCCTGAAAAGGGCCGAGTTAGTGGTCTGGCAGTATGACCTCTGAAACGTTGGTTAACATCGACCAGACTACACAGCGCAATAACCCAGAAGACGGATATCTTCATACTCACCGCTGTGAGAACCTCAAGTCTAGGTTTTTTTTTTCTACGTAGTTAGAAGATACAAAATTAAATGTGCCTACTGTGTGACCAGTGATACAGATGACCGCGTCCACGCTATTCGCGAGATATATCGATTAGAAGCACTGGCCATTCTGATCTGGATTTATTTCGTGTTTGGAAATGCCATTAAATAAAACGTTCATCGCCGTTTCTCAGCAGTAAAAACTATTTTTCTTTTTTTGGACGAAACAAATTACATTGGTTTAAATACAGGCGCACTGAAATAAGGTTCCCTTAAATGAAAACCAGACGGAAAGTGTGAAAGCGGATTGGAATTGCTTGTCTTGATACGGAAGACACACGTGACGTGGTCTTTTAACTTTTACATGCTATTTATTCCAACGTAATATTTTAACTCTTGTGTCGGGGTTTAGCAGAAATCCTCTGGATGTGTCCCCCTGAATTTTATGAGCTATAAAACGAACGTCAGTGTAACAGTTATGAGACAAGGTGTAGGCGTGGTTATCTCATCTGCTCGTTTGGAACGTGATTTAGTTTTATTGTTAACTGGCTGTATCGGGCTCATTTATAGTTCATTAAGCAGATTAAATTAGAGTGGGGTTCTTAGAATCTTAAAAGAAGCTATTAACTTCAAATGTAACAAAATAACAAGAACAATGAACGACGAATGGATCGTTAGCGTCATATCGTTAGCGTCATATTTTAGAAATTGCTGAGATGAAAAAAATAAAGATTTGGAGTTTTCAAAATATGTGGTTCACTTAAAAATTAAATTCAGAATAAAATTGCGACAAAGGCGAACATAAAATTCAGAGTAATTGAAGAATTTAATGCGAACAAATAATGAAGGTGAAGATGGATGTCGTCTGGGTTGTAGCGCCCTGATGATGGAGGCAGAAAGGACCTCTGAAATGTTGTAAAACATCTACCAGACTACACGGCGCTACAACCCAGAAGACATTCACCATCCATCTAGCGGTTAGAACGCTGGCCTTGTAATCCTGGGGTCTCGGGTTCGATTCCCGGCGGTGCCCGAATTTATAACTTGTGTTGGGCAAGGCCGTGGTCTAGGCAACACGGAGATTTTCTCCGTGGCATCCCAACAATTACTCTATTCACACACAGAAGCAGGCAATGGCAAACCACTTCTGGATCATCTGCCAAGAACGTATATGAACAGGTCCCAGTCCGAGAAAAGGATGGAAGGATCCTGTTCATATGGACCTGTCGTCAGACACAACACTAATAATAATAATACATAGGTACAGAAGAAATAATAAATAATAAACAAACATTAAATTGTCTTCGTTTCACACACACAATTATTTAAGCCGAACTAGAATTTTGTAAACCGCATTTTTGCCAGACTTCAAGAAATTTTCATCTGTTATACAGGCTTTGATCATGGGAGATGTTACACAGAGTTTTAACAGATGGAATAAATGTCTGTGAAGTGACAGGAACATCGCCCCTCTGCAGTACTGAGACAAAAGAAGCCGTGGAATTAGCCTAAGAAGGCATGAGACGTCTCCGTGGATCAGCGTAATTGAGTTATTAGCAATCTCAGCCCTGCGTCATGTCAGCTTCAAGCGATGCTGATACTCAAAGGAGACGTTTTAAGCGGAGAACCAGGGATTTTTAGCTGCCTTATCCTTACAGCACATGAGATTTAAGTACGCAGTGACATGCGATAACGTTATTGATCCTTAGGCTTTTAACGACGTTGTTTCAAGTGTCGAAGTTTAATTTTACGAGGTGGTTGAAAGTCGCTCAGAATAGAGATTTTAATTTTCGTCGGCGACGAATATGAAGATGTCTATTATCTAGGTTGTTACGCCCTGATGATAGAGGCAGCATTGACCTATGAAACGTCCGTAAATTTATATCGATTATACGGCGCAGAAATCTACAAGACAGTCGACTTCTTAACTGAGAGTCGACTCCATTGTAAGCTTTAATGAATGTTGGGGTTCTGTCTTCAGAAAGTTAGGAAAAGGGAACACCACAGATACACACAAAGTTTTACAGGAGTATGCATTCCTTTGCGAACTATTCACGGATTTTTACGTCAAATAAGCCTTTAGCTTTTGTCGTTTTTCGGATAGAAAACCATTACTTCATTCTGGCCCTTTGTATGCATAATATTTCCATACCAACACGAGGCAAGTAACAATATCGACCCTACCGATTCTCCAGTATTGTTATTTACGGTCTGCATTCTAATTGTTATGCGTTTGTTGCACAAATACGATGAAGTGTAAGCATTTTGGACAGGATATGTCGTTCGTCTGTCTGTAAATTTAATCTCCGAAACTACTAAACGGGTTTAATATGACATTCTACGTGCACCTGAAATGTCGGTGGACGAATCTGATTTTGGTTAGTGTCAGTCAGTCACAAGACCTACTTTACATACAGCTGAAATCAAAGCAAATACTGGTTTCTGTGGCCTACGCTTAAGTATTATGAATGTTTTTATCAGCTAGAGATAATATGCGCAATTAATTGTTAAAATTACAGGGTCATTCTTAGTTTGAATATAGTTTAGGAATTCACTTTTCCCCTACTTATTTCTGTTTTGTTTAAAGCGAAACATAATTCGAGATCTGCGACAATGAAACAGCGTAACATAATTACTGTTAACACTAGAATTTCGTCTTTTTTTGTATTTGATGAATCGGTTTGTTACTTTTCGCTAAATGATTCAGATTGTAACTTATGTTGTGTTTTTTCTCTCTCAGTACTATCGATTAACCATTACGTAACAATGTAACACGTTTCGCTGCAGTCTGTCCAATGTGTGAACAGAAATTCAGACGCTCAGGGCGATTATCGATAATGAGGTCACATCGCGAAACAACGCAACATCAAACCTCTATTGCACAGTTGTTATGTTCTTGCTAGAAATTCAGGAAAGTTCTGATGCAAAATTACGTCTCATTGGTGAATTATACTTAGATCATTCAAGTCGCATGCCTTCTTTGCTTAGTTTCAATAATTTAACAAACTTGATGTTCGTATTTTGCTAATGTTTATTATGTGGTTATGTAATTATAATCTGGTATGTATAACAAGCATGATGTTGGCTTTTGGTTAAGTGACTTTTGGGATATGCTGTATTCCGTATCTTGTAATGTGTTGTGTATGTGTACGCTTGTGTTTCCTCGACGCCGCCTGGGTTTGACATGAACGTCTTTAAAAGAACTGCCAGGGCGGTGTTCGACACCAAAAAATGCTCTGGAGTGCCATGGTCGCGGCTCCATACGTCGCCTAATGATGTCCTTGTTCCCGGTGCTTCGTCACGCCAAAGACTTCCTGGACCAGTACTTCACCTCCATCAGACGGTCAGTACAATTAAAGTTCTAATGGAAATGCGCCCGAGAGACGGACGTTTAACTTTTTGAAGCCGAAGCTAGTCCAGATACTCGAATGTTTAAGAATTCAGTCCATACCGCAAATAAAACAACACGGGATATAATGTCTGCCCTTAATTCTGAAATAATGGCATGCGACCTACAAAAGTGTGACTGGTCAGCTCCCTCGGACGCTGTGAACCGGCAGAGAGAATAATGTTAGGAAGTTGCATGGTGACACGATGTTTGTTGAGCTGTGAAGGGTCGAAGCAGAAGGACAGACAATGACTCCTTCTTCTGAATTTATAGTGTGTCATTAACGATAAGACTGGAAGTTAAATGCGGCGTCCAGAAGCAATCCACATGTGCATCGTCGGACTGGCTGTTTAGTTAAGTCGGTGGTTGGCTGGAGACGCACATTAGGTTAGGTAAACAACAAATGTATACAGAATTTTTTGCCCAAGAAACTGGGAAATCGGCGACTTTTGTTAAGGTATCTTTTGTCGAATGTAAAACGAGAAAATGACTTCTGTGTGGGGCTCGTGTTTATTTTTCAGTTTTAAGACGATAGTGAATGACCCATTGGAGATAGACTTGTCTGTCAGTGAGAAGTTCCAAATATGGCGACGATGCAGAAATCTGAGTTTATATTCGACAAATGTGACGTATGCGATCTGGACAATAGCACAACAATATTAATGATATTTTTAACAACTTTAAAAATGCGAGGAATTAATAAATATGGCTGCACTAGGATTCGATCGTATGCCCTATTGTGCGAGAACTTAACGCGATAATCCATGGGCTTAATTTGCATATTATTCTTAGGTTAAGGAGTTGACAGGAAGTCTGTGTTATAGGAAAGCAGACTTTATGGGATCCACTCGGATGTCCAGTGTTGTGTTTAAAATCTGCTAGGTTTTCCTTGACAAATGTATAGTTCTTAACTGGACAATTACCCGCGTTTATGGGACTTAAAAATAAATTTTCAAACTATTGTTCTAATAAACAGAATAACAAACATAGGCACAGACGCGAACCAGCCACGTTGGTCTAGCGGTTAGAACGCTGGCCTTGTAATCCTGGGGTCCCGGGTTCGATTCCCGGCGGTGCCCGAATTTATAACTTGTGTTGGGCAAGGCCGTGGTCTAGGCAACACGGAGTTTTCCTCCGTGGCATCCCAACAATTACTCCATTCACACACAGAAGAAGGCAATGGCAAACCACTTCTGGATCATCTGCCAAGAACGTATATGAACAGGTCCCAGTCCGAGAAAAGGATGGAAGGATCCTGTTCATATGGACCTGTCGTCAGACAGAACACTAAATAATAATAATAATATGTCATATTATTTTGCTTTTGTGAACACAGTAATGAACTATGTGATTCCGCAGTAGTAGCGAACGTTTTAGTCAGGTAACTAAACGTTTGAAAGAAGACGACCCTGTGGAACATTAAGTTATTTGCTTCATATTGTTTTAGCTTTCTTCGTAAAATATTTTTCCGCATTTTGTGGCTTTTGTGAGCTTAGTTCTTCTGTTCGTGGGTGTATTTTTCTGATGCTTGGAAGCGGTCCGACGCTTTGTTGACATAAAACTCAGTCTAGGACGGATAAATAGATCGTTCCGTATCGGTATGAGACGTCAGTTATGACTGGCTATTCAGCAAGAAAAACACGCCTTACACGAATTATTACTTTGTCCTGTAGCCCGCGTTGATTTCTAACTTCACAAACGACGAATTTTGATCAAGTTCTCGTAATTTGTAGAGTTTTATTAGAAATTTAATAATTAGGCTAATTGGTCCGATTACTTTGCTGTACATTTAATATGTCTAGATACGTGGCCGAAATGATATAAAATACTGCTCGATACTGGACTGGCAATGTAGATTAAATTCTATTGATCAGGTGTTTTGCGAAAACTTTTCAGACCTTGGGTTTCGATGTGAATGTTATTGATGTTATTTGCATTAACGTAACTGACGAATTGCAAATAAAGTAATTGATTGTAAGCTTAAGTCAGATTGACGCATGTATTTAAATGAAAGGAGACTGTTAGATGACGTTCAGTTTATCATTTTTGCTTTATGAAACTTTGAAATCCCAACACAAAGTTTATCTGTATGGAAATTTTGTGGTCATAACTACCTCGTTATATTTTAGAATAAATTGGTACGTACATAGCGAAAAATGGAATGTGTTGAGAATTCATTAAAATCGTGTCTGTTTGGAAAGATAATATTATAATTAATTATAAGGAAATAAATTTTGATAATGTGGGGTGAATAGAATTTTCCTCAAGACTGGACTAAGTGACAAGCTGTGATAATAGTGTTGAAGTTTTTATACTATTGTAATGGTCTTTTACGCAATTGGTTGCGTGAAAGAATGTATTATAGATAAATACGGTACTGGCCGAAACGTCTTTGCACAGTTGAGTTATGTTTTGTGTTTTGACGCCGAGCCCGTCCACTGCTGAACTGCATCCGCCCCACAGGTTATGTGGCGGTCAGGAAATTGAACCAACACATTAAATATTTCATGACGAGTAAAGTGTCGAAGTCCATTCGGTAGTGTCACATGTAGGTGGGATTTAAGATGCTGCTAGGACAATAGCAAGTCCCACCAGGGTTTCGTTCTGAAGGGGTGAATCTTGAAGTAGACAGCATTGCGTAAGTAGAATTTTTTCTGATTTGTGACAATCGGCTTAAATAGGAAAAAAGTTCATTTCTAAGCGAATGGTAGAATTATTAACTGGAGATCGCCTTCCTAAGAAACACAGTAATTGGCAGGCCATCTGCTCACTTTTTTTTGTTGTTGCTATAATTAGGATTGATGTCTATATGCCGTTCACAAAGCGCTAGGAAGCTGTATGCCTATAAGTATTTTTCATCTCCAGAACTATTGAAAACATTTCGATTTAATTTGGTAGAGACCTATGAGAGCATTGAACGTGTATAATTACAAGATAGTGTAATTCCGTCATATTGTGAATATTATATCAATTATTTATTTTAATCCGTCTGATCACAATATAATTTTTTATTTAAGATTTCTTATAATTATTATCTTAATTATAAGAAATTTTAAATAATAAAAAAATATATTGTAATCAGACGGATTAAAATAAATAAGTGTATAATTACATAATTTCGAATCGTATCGAACTAAATGAATAGCTGCTTTACATTAAACTGAAATTAGACTTAATCGATTTTATGAAATACAACTAGGCGAACAAAATATTGATACGTGACATAAGATATCGATATCATTACTTTCACGTGAATTTATTTTTATAATAATCAATATTTAGTGGTAGTGGTACCTATAGGTTAATATTTTCACAGTAATTGCATTATGTCTATGCAATGGACGTCAAATGACAATGAAAGCAATTGTAAAAAAATGTAATAGACGGTGAGATTTTAGGTTCTCGCGGTAGCGATTATGAAGGTGACTGTCTCTGGGATGTCGCCCAGATGATGGAGGCAGCACGCACGTCTGAAATTTCGTAAACTTTTACCAGACTACACTGCGCAACATTTCCCTGTTTATTTGCATTCAACTCACTGTCTGTACATTTCTGGTTAGGTACTACTGCGTTTGTATTATCTGCGTATTACAGATGCAAATAGGTGTTGGTTCACACATGCTGACCAGTGTGGTAAATAGTCGGATCGTTTAAATTGTCTCCCTACCGCCTATTATTAGCCTATGTCGGACAGTCTGGTCACTTGAAGGATTTGAGCAGCGTATCGCGATTGTTAGCTCAGGTGGGATGATTAGTTGTATTATGTTTTTGTATATGCAAGTGACATCATGTCAGGTGAAATGAAGTAACCCATAACACGTTCATGTATTGGGTTTTCACATGAGAGAAATACGATCCCGAGAACTAGAAGAGAAATTTGTTGATACGCGGAAAATCTCTTCACAGTCGCTGTTCTGACGTGAGCATGACGCCCCTCTGTTGGAGAGGACAGGCATTAACATGCTTTTGAATTGCCACGGCTGTGATGTAAAGTGTTCATGATTTTAAATTACTCAAAGCCACATATATATATGCTGTTGTTTGATTTTTTAAAGATGGCCACCCTGTCTGTTCATAATGAAGTACTTCGTGAGTTAAATAGGTATAAATGAAGTCTGATGGTTCCTGGTAATCGTGCTAACCTTCCTCTTAAATCTAGGATCGATATAATGCGTGGAGGTTTATCTCCATTTCCACATACGTCTTGGTGGTTGGTTACTATGCGGATGGTGCTTAATTAATCCTGCACTGTTTTACCCTTATACACATTATATACTTTTTGTAAAACGGGTGATCACGCAGAATTCACATATCGAGGCTCACAATAATTTCCATAAAGTCAGTTTGTAACTTCATATATTTATATTATAGGCTTATTTCCGTATATTATAGGCTTATTTTTGTCTTATTTCTTCTTTCATATGCTGCATTGCCGTTAAAATGTCATTATTCATTACAAGCTCAAAATTTTGTATAAATATTCCGTCATAATATCGACCTCAATGGTTCTTTATATAATATAGTGTAATAAACAGCATTGTGCATTATTATCATGTAGAAATGGTAAAAAGGGCTGTAGACATGGTTTCGGAATGAACTGTAATGCAATAATTTTCGTACCGTGTTACATAAGTATCGGAAATTTAATTTATAAGTTGTTATTTAGTATATACAGATTTATACGTCGCAGTACGAACCTGTGTAAGCGTTCTTTTCTTTCAGTAAATAATGCTAAGTACTTCGGTTCTTATAATACTGTCTCATGCAATATTCATATGATTGTAATCTGTAAACTATTTCAGCCTCTACTGGGCTCGTTTCATATTCGGAGTGAGCGCACACAAGTAGTTGCCATGGAAACCACATCAAGTGAATATCACCTGTAAAGGAGAGTGCATACATACAGGCAGTTATTGCTATTCAAAGTACAATCTGAGATTACAGAGGTTTGAGGC